CTGAGCTAAATCCCCAGCCCCTTAACAACTCTCAAAGTAACCATTTAACAATAATCTTAAATTGCCCAGGTGGCCTTCAGCTTACATTCTTCCTACCTCAGCCTCCTGAGTAGCTGGGGTTACATGGGTACCCCACTGTGCTCAGGCATCTCCTTATTTTTAAAATTAAAAAAAAAAAAAGAACTTTTTTGGTGATACTAAGGCTTGAATCCAGGACCTTCACACTGAGCTACAACTCCAGGCCTTTTTATTTTTAATTTGAGACAGATTCTTGCAAAGTCACTAAGTTGCCCAGGTTGTGCTTGAATTTGGGGTCTTCCTGCGTCAGCCTCCCAGAGTGTTGGCAGATGACAGACATGCACCACCACAACTGGATTGAAATTGCAATTTTAGACATCGAATGAGCCAACACCTTATGAGTCAGAATACTCTCCAGGCTGTCAGTCTGTGACTTCTGCCTTAGGGTAATCTTTTGTTTGTTTGTTTGTTTGTTTCCAGTACTGGGAATCAAACTCACTAAGTTGTGCTTGCCAGGCAGGCGCTGTGCCACTGAACTAAATCCCCAGCCCCAGGATAATCATTTTTGAGGTCCATATGTTTATCACCTGTACACAGGAAGTGTTGAAGGCAGTCTGTAACTTCATCTGAACTCAATGATTCCATGCTTCAAAAGAGCTAAATGTCAAAGCTTCCAGAAATGATGATAACTTGAGAAGGTTTACCTTCTGGCTTAGTACCTGACCCACGCTTTCCATTCTACACATTGTGGTCCTGCCTTTTCTCTGAATCCCTCCATCATCTGTGTGTAGGAGGCACTGGGATTACTTGGCCATCGACAGGAAAGTCAGGCTTTCTCATTCCAAATCATTGGGTGGGTGCATTGGCTTGCTTTCTCTCTCGCTTTCTCTTTTCTTCCCTCCCTTCCTCTCTTCTTCCCTTCCTCCCTCCCTCTCTCCCTCTTCTTTTTTCTAGTGCAGCAGGCTCTGAAGGCCCTGGACACGGGCCCTTGGGAGGTAGAACAGTTCCAGGCATAGGGGAAGGCAGGTCCCCAGATGGAGTTAGGATTTAGCTGGGGGTAGGGGAGGCTTTGTGACAGCTCTCTTGAGGCAGGAGTGTGGCATGTGTTCCTCTTAGTTTGCCAATGCCTGGCTTAGTACCTGACCCACCGTTCAGTTTTGTGTAAGTGACTAAGTGGACTGATCTTTTGAAGCAGGAATCAGAGGTTTTAGTATTTTCTTGTGGGTATGGGGGCTTGAACTTAAGGCCTTTGCACCGAACTATATTCTCAACCTTTTAACAATTTTTTTTTATATTGAGACAGGGTCTTGCTAAGTCATTAAGTTGCCCAGGTTGGGCTTGAACCTGTGATCCTCTTGCCTCAGCCACCTGAATAGTGAGATTATAGGAATGTGTCACCACACCCAGCTAGAATCAAAGACTTCAGATCACAGTGGTTGAGAATTTTGTCTAGAGAATTTCAGGGATAGTCAAATGCTTCTGATATGTCCTTTTAGAATGCTAAGATGGGAAGCAGAGATAACTCCTTATAATTCAGCTCACAGATGGAAAAGCTCACTGTGTTCTCATACTTGATTCTGAGATCTAGGTTTTGATTAGTGTAACTCTCCCTGTGTAATGTGTTTGTGAAGTCAAACACCATGGGTATAAGGAAGTTAAAGACACCAGAGAGCTTTGTATGGCTTTAAATCTTCCAAACAGATCCAAGTTCTTGTTATTTAGAGATGCATGTTGAATATGTAGAATGATTTCTTGTCTGGGACTTCTGTCAGTGGGGCTCTGTGGGTAACGGAGGGGGTAAAGGTGAAATAAGATTGGGCCTGAGTTGGTGATTATTGAAACTGGAAGCTGGATAGCTGGGGTTTCGCTGTAGTCATCTCTATTTTCTATATATTTGAAATTTTCATCATAAATATTAAAAAACACAGAGCATTTCATTTCATAGATTCAACCGCACAATGGTTTGCAGTCCATTTTTTTTTTTTTTTTGGCTTTTTCAAACAGGATCTCACTATGCAGTTCAGGCTGGCCTTCAGCTCACTTTGTAGCCCAGGCTGGTCTCTAACTCCCGAGGCTGGGATTACAGGCATGTGCCACCATGCCTGGCGGGTTTGCCAGTCTTTTTGTGCATTTGGGGAGGTCAGGGTTGAAATGGACAAAGCACTGCTGACATTGCAGGGTCCATCCTGGGGCTCAGTTTGGGTGGTTTTGTTCTTATTAGACAAAGATGGTGGAGAGAAAGGGTAAGAGTGAGCCTTGAGGGGCCTCTCCAGACCCTCTTCCCTGTAGGAACTCTGAGTGCCAAGGGCTACGTAACTGCAGAGCTAGTTCATTTTAGAAACAGAACTCACAAAGGCCAGACTGGACCACTTTGAGGTTTATAAGAACTATTACCAGATTACTGCCTTTTGAGAAATGAACCAAGGAAGAACTTACAGAAGAAAGACTTATTAAATCAGTGGGATACCATTTTATACCTGTGGACTCTGACTCCTTCAAAAAAGCCCATATCCAGAGATTCAGTAATCTCTCTTTGGAATGTGCTCTGAGTAAGTAATTCTGAAGAAGAAATGTTAATGTAGCTATTGAAAGCGATTATGTAATGGCACTGAGAAGACTTACAGTGTAAACAGCAAGACCCTACCTATGTTATGATCTCAAGTATGCTATTATTACACATTATCATAAATGGACAGTGGGAAAGAGCATGGAGAAATGAAAACAATTAATGGGTGACGGTTGTAAATATTAGCTTAGTTTTTCTTAAAGGAACTCCCTTTTCTTTTGCAGTACTGAGAATTGAACCTAGGGCATGAATCACACATGCCCAGCAAGCACTCTACCCCTGAGCCGCATTCCTAGTTTAAGAGACTGTTCTGGCCGGAGCTATAGCTCAGGGGCACAAGTGCCTGCCTGGCAAGTGCAAGGTCCTGAGTTTGATTCCTGGTCCAAAAATGAGAGTGTTCTATTGTTGTTAAAGATTGTGTCTAAGCTGGACATGGTAGCCTGTAATCCCACCACTTGGGAGGCTGAGGTAGGAGCATCACTGCAAATTTGAGGCCAGCCTGGGCTACATAGTGAACTCAAGGCCAGTCTGAACTACACAGCAAGACCCTGTCTCAAAAAAAAAAAAAAAAGCATGTGCATTCTTGAACCATTCTACTGAGAACACCACACTTTGATGCACCTTTCAGACTGCTGCTGTCATCTCTGAATATTCTTGAAATTGCTTTGTTTCCAGGTTCAGTTTCAGAAGCTTCAGCAACTGCGCCTCACACAGTACCACGGAGGCTCCTTACCAAACGTGAGCCAGCTGCGGAGCAGCGCCTCAGAGTTTCAGGTACCAGTGCATTGTACTTTCTTGACGCTGAGTGGAATGTAAAGAGATAGGTAGAGATTAGTCCTAAAAAGATTAGATTTTGAAGGATAATCTGGGCCTAGATACATTTCAGCCTTCTGGGAAGTCTGCCAGTATTCACTTTCATGGCTTTTCTGCGTAGTTCTGCCCCTTCACAAATGGTCAGAGGCAGTAGCCTCTGGAATATAATGTGAAGAGTGCCTCCTTGTTAAGTGTAAGGCCCTGGACTCAATCCCCAGCACTGGAAAACAAACAGATGTACTGTATATAATGTGAATCATGTATGTCATGTGTAATTTTCCAGTACCACACTAAAGAATAATAAACTGATGGAAATAATTTTAATGTAATTTAAGTAATTTGAATAATTATTTAACCCAGTATATCCAAAATATGATCATTTCAACATGTAACCAACATAAAGGACATGGTATAGTTCACATATTTTTTTGATACTAAATCTTTAAAAATTTTGTGTAATTTATCTTTTAAGCACACATCAGGTGGGACTGGCCACATTTCTGTAGCTTCATGTGACTAATGCCTGCCTCGTGGACAGAGCAGGTCTAAGGTGTGGATAAGTGGTCTGTAGTGCACTTAGATTAGGGCAGTGTCCAGTGCTTTAATCATTTACTCCAAGAGCATTATTCAAAACAATGTAGAATTGGTGTTTGAGACAATGGTATCTAGTACTGTTGTGTTAAGATCTAAATGAGGCCTAGTTTGGTATCCTGGTCCCTGAAAAATTAAGAGGTGGTCATTGTGGCTACACAGTTTAAGATTTGGTCTTAGAGTTGAGGTACAAACTTTAAGATGAAGCATAACTTGATTCCTCCGAATGTCTCTCCCTTCTAAAATCATGATTATCTTTCTTTGTTTTAGAAACTGAATTGTGGTGATATACAGAGTGCTTTGGAAAATTTTAGAGTTTGGATTTTTAGATCAGGATGCTTAACCTGTTAAATATATGCCTGATATTCCAACATCTGAACAACTGTGAAACCTCAGGGCTTTCTGGTTTCAAATATTTTAGATAAGGAATACTTGACCTATACTTTTTTTTATTTTGTTTTGAGGCATGGTCTTGCTATGTAGTTCAGGCTGGCCTTGAACTCACTATGTGGCCCTGGTGGGCCTGTTTTTTGTCTTTTTTTGTTTGAAACAATCACAGACTTACAGAGAAGCTAGACATTATAGGTATAAACAACACTTTTGCTTTGAAAGTCACTGACCTGACCCCCTGTCACCCTCAAGTATTTCACATGTATTTTCTACAAGTAAGGACAGTCCTGTCTAACTAAAACACAGCCATCAACATCAACAAATTAACAGTGATACATTATTATCATCCTCAGATCTCTTTGTCCTGCTGCAGTTTTCCATAGCAAAAAGACCCAGTTCAGAACCACACATATTTAATTATAGTCTGTAGTCTCCTTTAGTCTGGAACAGTTTTCAGGTCCTTTATTTTTGACGTTATTATTTTTTACTTCTGTGGCCTTGCCACTTTCAGAGGTTACAGGCCAGTTGTTTTGTAGAGTATCCCTGAGTTGGGGTTTATGTGTGGTACCTTTGTGGATGGATTTACATCATGCCTCTTTGGCAGGAGTAACACAGAGTGATGCTGTTGTTGTATCACATTAGGCACGGGGTTTGGATTTGTTCTATTACTGAATTTTTATCAACTGACATAGCTCTCGCAGACTTCTCTACTCTAAAGTTACCCTTCCCACCCCACCCCCCACATACTTTTGAACTCAGAATTGAACCCAGGCCCTTCTCACTGAGCTTTACCCCAGCCTTTTTTATTTTTTATTTTGAGATGAAGTCTCACTTAGTTGCCCAGCCTGGCCTCAAACTTGTTATTTTCCTGCCTCAGCCTCCTGAATAGCTGACATTACAGTTGTGTGCCACCAGTTGTTTTTATCTCAGTGTTCACATTAGTCCCTTCCTAGGCAAGTGGGAACCGTCTTCCAGGCAGAAATGTTCTTGATAAACTCATGAAAAAAGAGAATCCCAGAAGCACATTTTTTAAGTAAACTTTTTTGAGGTATAATTTACCTTTTTTGAGGTATAATTTACCTTTTTTTTTTTTTTTTTTTTTTGCAGTACTAGGGGGTTGAATGCAGGACCTTTGAACTAAACTATATCCCCAGCCCTTTTAAAATTTTTTTTATATTGAGACGGGGTCTCACTAAATGACTAAGTTGCCCAGACTGTGCTTGAACTTGTGATCCTCCTGCCTCAGCCATCCAGAGTGCTGGGATTGCAGTTGTGTGCCATCATGCCTGGCTCTGAACTTTTTTCTAGTGATGAGGACTGAACCCAGGACCTTGGGCATACTAGGCAAATGCTCTACCACTGAGCTGTATCTCCAGCCCTGAATTTATCTTTTTAAGATACATAACTCTCTGCCGTGTAACTACCACCACAATACAGTTATAGAATAATTCCTTCACCACAGGATTTCCCTTGAGTTCTGGGTAATCGGTTCTCACCCTACCTGTGGCCTCTGGAGACCCCAGTCTGTAGTATTGCCTTTTCCCGAGGGTCCTGTGGATGGGATTGGATGTATGTAATCTTCTGAGTCTTCTCTCAGTTAACTTCCATATTTGTGATTCATCTGCATTGTTACATGTACATATTTTTCTTGCGGCTGCTGTCAAAATACCACAGATTTGGTGGTTTAAAATGAGAGAAAGTTATCTTCTCAGTTCTGAGTTCAGAAGTATGAAGGCAGCAGCAGGGCTGGGCTCTTTCTGAGGGCTCTGGTGGGTCCATCTTTGCCTCTTCCTAGTTTGCGCTGGTTGCTGGAGGCCTTAGTTCGTAGCTCTGTGACCTCGCCCCCATCTCTGCCTCCCTTGTCCCATGGCCTTCTTGCTCAGGTGTTTGAGAGCCCTTGGATGTAAACCTCCTTTTCATTTCTCTTATAAGGACACTTGTCATTGGATTTAAGGTTCGCCCTACTCCAGTGTGGCCTCATTTTAACTTGATTACACCTGCAAAGATTCTGTTTCCAAATGAGGGCACTCATGTTCTTAGGTTTGGGGGTTAGGAGTTAAACATATATTTTTGGAGGGCAATAATTCAACCTACTACATTGCATTTATATGTTGTTCATTCCTTTTTATTGCTGAGTAGTATTCCACTGTGTGTATATAATTTGTTTGCCTATTCATTAGTTGATAGGCAATTTGGATTGTTTTCAAGATTTTAGCAATTATTAATAAATATTAACATTCATATGCAATTTTTGTGTAAGTACTTTATAGTGGAATTGCTAGATCATAGATTAAAAAGTTAAAAAAAAAAAGATAAAAAAGTTAAAAATTTTAATTTTTTTTGAGATGCTGGGGATGGAACCCAGGACCTCAGAGAGCATGCTAGGCAAGCCCCTTCACTAAGCCACACCCCTGCCTCCCTTAACTTTTCTTTTTCCACACCTTTTTTTATTGGTATGTGTTGGTTACGTAGAGCAGTGGGTTTCATTCTGGCAGATCTGCACATGTGCATAATGTACTTCGATCATCTTCACTCCCTTGTCCTTGTTACCCCCTTGCCCTGCCCCCTACCCTAGTTTCACATTTGGGGAGGGTTTTCAATGCATATGATATAAGGTATATTTAAGTTTTACAAAAAATTTTTGTTATATTAAAAGACACATTGCCATGAATTCTACTCAAAATACTCCTCTCTTTGGACACACTTTTTTTTTTTTTTGAAACAGGTTCTTGTGGTGTAGTTTATGGTGGCCTTGAATTCACTATATAGCCCAGGCTGGCCTTGAACTTGTGGCAATCCTCCTATCTCATCCTCCTGAGTGCTTGGGTTACCCCTGTGCACCACCATGCCTGGCCAGTCTTTGAGAACACTTACCCATCATTCTTGCCATTTTCTGAATTTAGCTGTGGAACTCCGCTTTGGCAAGTGCCTTTTCCTGTTTGCCTCAGCGTCCTGAGTCAATTCAAAACATTTATAGCAATTTCTGTTAAATAAAACATCATGGTATGTTCTTATTGCCTTATCCACCATGTCTGGCACCCTGCGACTTCTGAGTTCCCCAAACTCAAAATGACCACAGAAGGTAAATGCTTTGAATATATTCAGGACATTGAAGCAGTCACAACAGTGCAACTAAAGACATTCAGGGAAGAGGACTTCCAGAGCTGCTTCAGAAAGTGGCAAGAATGATGGGATATATGTGTTTGATGCGAGGGGGGGTATTTTGAGAGGAATTAATAGCAGTGTATCTTTTATTGTAATAAATTTTTAAAAATGTAAATATATGTGATTACATTTCATATTTTGATCATACTACCCCCCATTATGTGCTCTACACCCCTACCTTCTCCCCCTTCTTCCTTTCCTTTTGTCTAACGATAGTCTTTCTTTTACTTTGCTTTTTTTTTTGTTATTTTTTTTGAGACAGGGTCTCACTATTTAGATCAGGCGGGCCTTGAACTCGAAGTGATCCTTCTGCTTCAGCCTCCCAAGTGCTGGGATCACAGGCGTGCGCCACTGCGTCTGGCTCTCTTCTACTTTCTTGTCCTAGTACAGCCACTTCCACATATTAGGCAGCACATGCAATATTTCTCTGTCTGAGTTGGCTTATTTCGTTCAGCATGATGATCTGTCTAAAAATAGATCCATCTGTTTTTCTGCAAATGACAAAATTTCATTCTTTATGGCTGCCTATACTATATTGTGTATACATCCCCCACATTTTCTTTATCTGTCCAGCTGTTGGTGGGTACCCAGGCTGGTTCCATATCTTGGCTATTGTGAGTAGTGCTGCAATAAACATGAGTATGCAAGTGTCCTTATAGTATTCTGATTTTGATTCCTTTGAGTGTATACCAAGGAGTGGTATAATTTGATCACGTGATAAGTCAGTGTTTTAGTTTTTGGAGGAAACTGCATACTGATTTCCACAGTGGCTGTACTAGTTTGTATTCTCATGGGCAGAGTGGATTTTTTAATTA